AATGTTTGGCAATGACTGTGTTTTAACATGTTTGCTTGTATGTTTTCTATGCGTTTTAACACTCTATGGTACCCTCTAATGCACTTTAATGTGTTTTTGCATGGTAAACGTGCATTACACACATTTTATATGAGTTATGATTCATATTTATTTAGCATGTAGGCGCAAAGTTTTTAAGTTTTTTAAAATGAAAATATGTTTGTTTGACTAATGAATGTAAGATAATTTCATATCAGCAAGCAGACCTGCCTGCTGATGTGATTTGGATCCAAAGGGGAGAGGTATTAGTGGAAGGTGCCACCAGCAAAGAGGGGAGTGTGTTGGATGGGAACCTGACAGGTGGCTTGTTCCCCTCTCCTGGCTGGTGAGCTATGGGACGTTGTACCTGCATATTCTCTGTGCCAAAGACAACTTGCTAATGTTTCTATTTTCCATTTATGCTGAAAAAAAAGCCTTTTTCTGTTCAGTTTTGCATTGTTATAAGTTGAAAAAAATTAAGCAGCATGTGAATATATTCTAGATTTTCTTTCAAAGGGTAGAGAGACTACAAGAATTGTGATATGAGCGGCACTTACCTGTTTACATCCCTAGCAACTTTAGACTTTCATTAGAGTAATAGCCTGGAGAAGGGATAATGCTGTATGTAAAACAGCGCAATTGTGTGTGGTTTAAACGGGCAAAGTCAGAGTCTCAGTCAACGCACAGTATACATTGCACACGTTTGCTGCAGTTTGGGTACCCACAAAATTCTCTGTAATTACTGCGCCACAAACAAGATTCTTACAAACACAATAAAACTGAGGACAAAATTGAATTTATAAAAACTCTTCCATTACATATGCTTTTATGTCTGAGCCTGCCATAATGAAGAACTTAATTAAAACACTTAGGGCACCTTAGCAACTGTTAAGATAATTTGTAATAGGAGCATGTAACAAGCAATATGGCATAAAGATTGCAGCGGTTAAGAATATGTGACATAGTCCCCCTTACATTGCTGGTCAGTGCAAGGGAAAAAAATAGCCCCAAATGGGTGGTCATTGGGAGAAAGAATAAAAGTCCCGCTGTTGGTGGCCAGTGGGGAACAAATGCTGAGCATCATTGGGAGAAAAATGCCCAGGGTCATTGGTCATTGTGAGTAAAATTTCTTGCATCATTGATCAGCAAGAGAAAAATTGCCCTGGTGTTAGTGGAAGAAAAAAATCAGCTTCCCCTTAACGGTCCAGGTTCCCCCCTATGAACTCTTCTTCAGACCCTCGATCAGTCCCTCGTAACATCCAGACCCCCCATAACACTCAGAATTCAGATCAGTTCCCCCTTTAGACTCCTCTTCAGACCCTAGATCAGATCCCCTTTAAACTACCCTTCAGATCTCATATCAGCCCCTCCAGCCCCCTCTCACTTCTCCAGAACCCCTTCAGACCACAGACCCACATGACACTTCAGAGCATAGTTCTATATGGGATGTTTTTGTCACATAAACAAAAACAGTAAGTGGGAATATATTTCCCCACTTTCCTGTACAGGGGCTGCACTGGTTGGAGGTCTGATACCTGCATCAGTTGCTGCAGAATGCTTTGCAACACCGAACACCGGTGAGTCTGAGGTTTAAATCACAGGACAGACCTGTAGAAATTAAGAAGGTGTGCTCACTGTGCACTCTCACCACACTGACCAATCTATCACAAACAGCTCTCGCTCACTGTAAACTATTGGACTCTGGTGGGACAGCTCCTGATCATGTGACCAGTGTCACAACCTAAACAGAAACAGGAACCATACCGTACTCCTTACCGGTATTCCCACTTGATGAAGATGGGTGCTCGAAATGACTGCGGATGGCACCGCCACACATGGACAGTAGAAACATGTCACCAGCACACCATGAGTTGAAAAAGCAAAATATTTTATTGCCAATAGCTGTATCTCATTGGCAAGCGCTTTCGGGGGCCTCGCAGGGTCCCCTTTATCTCTAAGCCTGATGAAGGGGACCCTGCGAGGCCCCGAAAGCGCTTGCCAATGAGATACAGCTATTGGCAATAAAATATTTTGCTTTTTCAACTCATGGTGTGCTGGTGACAGTGTCACAACCTATCACAGCAGTCACATAATCAGGACTCTACCTCCCAACGGTAAGAGCCTACTAAAGGGCCAACAGAAGGCAGCTACAAGAGATTATATAAAAGTTTTAAAACATTTAAAAACAAATTAAAACTTTTTAAAATTTTTGCCCAATTATCAGTCTATTATAATACACATAAGCAGAGCTCGGATTTATTAAAACACTGTACCAGATAAAAGCTTTATAACTTTCCTATGTTGAAAAAATGCAAAAATAATTAAAAGCGGCAAATTAGTGACAGAAATAACAACACATATTGATGCTGCTAAATTTAAGACGGACATCCAGGCATCAATGACCTCTCATAAAAGATTACATATTATAACTTTCACCAAGTTTTTATAAAACTTTAACAAACCAAGGTATGACATATACACAGACAAGAGCAATACAATACAATACAAGAGAAAGAAAAAAATGCCAAATCCCCCCGAATTTGCGTAGGTTGCAAATGTAGAACTTTATAAATGAAGGTATAAAGCCTGTCCCGGTAGGGACATAAGTTTGGAAGATTGCATATTTTATATGAACTACAAACAACAAATTGGATAATTGTTAAATCATCTCTACTAGAAACTGCTGTATACACAACAGGGCTGTATCTGTGCACTGTCTTTTGTGCAAGGAAATAACAAGTCTTAACAATGTAGGGTGGAATTTGGGCACAGGTGATGATTAAATCTCCCAATTTTAATAAGAAAGAAAATTGTCAACAAATGGAACCATCACCCATAAAATCTTGTAATAAAAACATACAAAGTCATACTGGGCCGACCTGCCATCCTGAGCCCTTCCCACAATAGAAGATTAGATGGCTGAACTTAAGGTGCAACTGAAGCCAAAACTTTTTTGGGATACAGTGAAGAAGGATTAAAAACCTGTCTGTGTATTATCGCTGTCTGTGTCCCCATTTGGGGGTTCACCCTCTATTTTTCTTGGTGATGTTGGTGAAAGAAAAACCCAAATTTTGGTTTGTCATCAGAAGAAGAATAGATGGGAAATCTTCCAGTGGGGACACCAGGGACTGCCCTCACTTTGAAGGGATTTCCTCTCGCTTCAGGGGGATAAGGACAGGGGTTATAACCCTTCCTTTCTCTATCTAAAACGGGAAACAAAGTTAATACACAAACAGGGTTATTC